CCTTTGGGCAGAGGGCAGGGTATCCTCCAGGGGCCATCTCCAGCCACTTTTAGGTCCCTTTGCTCTGCGCAAATCTCTCCAGCCCATTTTGAATGACAGAAACATGGAAAAAACAAACCAAACCCTCTCCCCGCCTTCCCTACCAGGAGTGAATCTGACAACTCTTGTGATGCCGCGGCCACAGCTCGAGAATAAGCCCATTGTGAAACGCAGCCATTTATCAGATAGCAACAATCAAAATAAGTGAGTGCCAGATTGTGCCCTTGTGATCTGCATGGGGAGAGAACACCTCTGCTCACAGATCTCCCACCTCTCCGAAAGGGGTGTGTTCCATCTCCAAGAAACAGTCCCATGGGCCCATGAGCGGGAGGCGCTCTCTGTAGCTCTGGGGATCCTGGAGTGAGCGGGGACAGGAAGGTGTTAGAAGGTGCTTTGTGGTTCAGGGCTTCTGCTCATCTTGCTCATCTCCAACTATTAGAGACCATGATGAGGCCTAATGTGGGGGAGGAGAGGGAACAGATTACCCCACATCTGCTACCATAGGGTTCTTATGCCTTCCCCTGCAGCATCTGGTCCTGACCAGCGTCAGAGACAGGATACGGGACTGGATGAATCTTGGATCTGACCCATCTGGCAATTCCTATGTTCCTAAAGTGACTGTTTCCCTGCACCAAAATGCATGCACCGAAAGACACTGAATCCCCTTTAAATGGCTGTCTGAGGAAGGAGTAAACTCCAAGTGCATTGGACCAGGGGAAGCCACATAGGAAACAGGCCTGAAAAGCGAAATCTCGCCAGTGAGGACACATCCTGTGTAGCCCGCACAGGCGAGGTTTCATAATGATTTACTGCCAGTGAAATGCAGAGATCTTTGGTGCAGCAAAGTTACACAGCGAACCAGCTCTCCACCAGGCACCAGTGCAGAGCCAACCGCCTCGCTGAGGGGAGGGCCTGCGGGGATGTAACCTAATCTGGCCCAAGGCCCCTGATTTAAATGGCAGTACTTTAAAAGCAAACATGTGTTGTAACTGCACTCAGTAACCATAACACTCCCTGCCATGCTGCTGCCCAACACAGGAAGCCTGGCCTATCAGCACATCCAACATAGTTATCGTATTACAACGAGTAGCGTGTGCCGAGCAGCAGGCGAGAGCAGCCCAGAGAACGAGAGCCAAACATGGATCCAAGCCCGCATTCACCGCAAAACCGTCGCCGGGTCACCATGAATCCTGACCGACGGGGTGAGACCAGCCCTCCAGCTCCACAAGCTGCGAGGTGGGAACGGACACGCTGGGAAGCTGGGAACTGACCAGGGATCGGCGCTAAGCAGCAGATGGCATCTGCTTACAGATTCTGCGGGCAAGGAGGGTGGAGCCTTAATTGAGTCAGAGTTGTTAGAGCTGGTCATTTGGTGCACTTCCCTGCCAAGGTAAAGGTGTTCCCGACAGTACAGATCTATGCCCAGATACAGACCTTGCATGAGACAGTCAGTTCCAAAGACCACTTTTGTGTTCATGAGAGCAGCAGGGACTCTTCCTTCTCCTGTGACCAGCCACTCTGCCGGTACTCCACTCTGTCCTCTAATGCCCTACTGCACGCCCCCCGGTCCTCCAACAGCTCTTGCCACACATCATCCCTCCTCTTCCCATAATCCAGACAGCCTACACCTGGACTTCCATTTTGCATCTGGGTTCTTGAAGCCAGACATGCCTGAATTTGGGGGAAGTTTGATCTGGATCTATACTGTGTGGTTTAGACTTATGTCTTGCACAGACTACCAGCCCCCCTGCCCCACTCTGCTAAAATCAGAGGTATTTATGGAACGAGTCCCCAGCAGGAGGGGTCTCAAATACCCATCATCCTGCACAACCATTGACATCACATGGCACATGAGCGCTCATTTAAAAGGTGACTGGCAAAGCCCTATAGAATGTAATAAGGTTCTAGAGAAATCACTCTAAAAAGCTACCGAAGCTATAGGATTTTTTTAAATGTCTTACAGAATGATTTAGCAGCCAGAAATTATTTTCTATTTCAGGCCAAAAAAAACCATAGAAGAGTTATCGTTTCCTAATAATTAAGTTCTGTAGGATTTTCCATGAGCAAAGGGGCGTGGGATTGTGTCTGTGCCTTTTTATGGTATTTAAAGAAATATTGGGCCAGATTTCCAAAAGACCTCCGGCTGCATTTAGGAACACTGGACAGTTCTTCAGCAGCTGCCATGGAGAATTTTGGGAGTTGTTGGGTGCAGAGCACTTCTGAAAATCTGGCCCATCAGATCTGGTCCTTCTGGGGGCCTCCTTGCGTACAATGTCCACTCCGCTATCCCTTTTCATGTTATATTTAAAAGGCAGTAAGACCAGAACGGTGCCTGGGATTTCTTCTTCTTTTTTTAATATGTAAGTTAAAGATGCCTCTGAATATCCTAGCCCACCAGTGACCTTAGCCTGGCAGTCTGAGAACTGGCATCTCAAAAAATGTACATGCACAAAATTGTGTGCAGATTTGGGCACTCCGTTTGTGGACACAATTACCAATAATGCACATGCGATTGCCATCATTTCAAGTGCCAGTGACCAGTTAGAAACATAACTGGTCAGTTGCCCATGCAATTAATTCCCATGTTTCTGTGCACCATCACAGCAACCTTGTGTGCAAATTAGACACAGAAACGTGCATGTATTTTTGCATTTCCATTTTGCATGCCTTAAATTTTGAAAACCTGGGCCAGTATTTTTAATTAACTCTTAATCATCATTCTTAATCATCATTGAGTCCAGTTCCTTGTGCTGATTGAACTTTTGCCCACCAAATGGTATATTAGGCACATCCAGCAAATACCCTCAGCTGATGAACCAGTCTTGCCCAGTATATTTAATGTTCCCAAGGAAAGCACTGCCAGGACCTGCTTCCCTTATGGCAGCCATGGAAGAGTTCAGAACACTGGCCTTATCTGTGGCTCCCACATCACCTTGGCAAAGGAGAAGCTGGTGACAGCTGAATGCTGGGAGGCAAAAGTGCCTCACAAGCTGAGCTCAGAGCTAATTTGCAGCAGAAGATAAAGATTATGCAGCATCGGACCCAAAAGAGAATAGGCAAAGCTGGCTGTACCAGTCCCAAGAAGACTTCTCTGATGTACAGAACTGCAGATTGACTGGCTTGCTGCAGTGTGTCCACCCCCACCCTGTTATCAAACCAACCTTTCACAATTCTCTGGGCTTTTTCCTCCTGTGGTTGTGACAAAGCGAGCTCTGGCATGCGTCAGCCAGGAAAACTACCCACAAGCCACGCTGTTCTTACTAGGAGCATTTCTTGGGTCTCTCCATTCACAGCAGGAGCAGGAAAAAAATTAGTCTAGTGCCTTCCCAAAGGCCTTGTCTACGCTAGAAAATGTTTGGCAATAGAGCTATCCATACCTGTAAACCCTCGTAGTGTTATGGAGCGAGTGGTGGTTGGAAATATTCCTGCGGCATGGGTTTCCATTAGCAAATGCTGTTTCATTTATATCGGGGTGGCCAAACTGCGGCTTGCGAGCCACATGCGGCTCTTTTATGTTAAAGTGTGGCTCACAGACCCCCCCAGGCCACCGACCATTCTCCACCTAACAGACTGCGGGGGAGGTTGGGGCTCCTGCCCTGTGGTAGAGTGGTGGGGCTAGTGGCTTCTGCCCCATGGGGAGGGAAGAAGGGGGTCGTGGCCTCAGCCCCACTGGGGACGCCTGCCGGGACTCGGGGCTTCAGCAGGAGCGTGGCTGAAGCCCCGAGCCCCAGCAGACACACCCCGTCTCTCAAACTTCGGAAGATTGTCGTACGCGGCTCGGAGGGTCGGAAAGTTTGGCCACCCCTGATTTATATGGAAACTTGCCGTGGGAACATGTTCGTTCTGACGACATTTTGTGGCGTGAGGGAAAAAAGCGTTTCAACAAGGTTGAAACATTCTGTTTCGACATTTTCAGAGGGGAACGTTTTGATTTTTCTGCTCACAACAATCTTTCATTTGGGCATTTCTTTTATTTTATGTTGAAAGCATTTCAAATGTTGAAATCAAAACGAAATGTTTCCGTTGACACAAAATGATTTTTTCCCCCTGAAAATGTCATGGTGCGGGAAATTTTTAAATTCCAGTCCAATTCGGAACAAAACAAATAAACCAACAGCAGCATGGAATTTCCTGCGAACCGGAAAGTCCAGTCCCGCACAGCCCAACCCACAGCTTATACGGGCAAAAGTGTTTCCCAGTGTCAGGTATGCTGCTTCCCTGAGTGAAAGAAAGGATGCCAGTGCACTTTTATGCCGTACAGCTGCATCTACACTAAGACTTTTGCTGGTTTAAAAATGTAAAAACATCACTGGTCACCACAAAGATTGGCAAAAGTTTCTGGCCTAGACCTGACCTACCAGAACAGCTGGGGCTGCCCTCTGCCCAGAGGGATATGGGACACTCTGGCTCTTTCCCCATCTGTTCCTTAACACATGAAGCCAGCGACTCCTGGGGGGTAAATGTGCAGGGCAAACATGTCAGTATTTTGCTTTGTGACTCCCACTGGACTCTTCCGAAAAGCTCCCCAGCAGTTATGGGCTTGATGCAGGGATCACTGGCTGGGAGGGTGTCCTCTGGCCTGGGGGAGGGCAGAGTGGATGGCCATAATGGTCCCCTCTGGCCTTAAAACCTAGTAACCGCTTCCTCCCTCGGGGGTGGGGGCACGTGCGGCCCCGAGACAGAGGAATTGAGACCCCGAAGCTGCCCGGGGGGACCAGCTGTACGTTGGGGGCTCAGGCGGGTGGCTGTGTCCCGCCACCCCAGTTTGGAAGAGCAGGTTCCCTGCGGCGCTGGACTCCGGAGAGGGCTCCGGCCTCCCCTGGCCATGCCAACACGTGTTATCAAACGGGCGCCTGGTATGCCGCCAGGCTCAGCCCTGCCAGCTGGGGATGTGGTTTTTTGCAGGGGGGCTTCTGCTCGGGTATTTACGGCGCGCGGCGGTCCCAGCAGAAGTTCAAGCAGACGGCTCGCGCTTCGCTCGCGGGCTCGCAGCTGCAGCGCCGGGCACGGAGCGCTCCGCGCCCCGCGGCGGGTCCCGACCGCCCGGCCATGGGCTGCACATGCAGCACGACCGGCCGCTGCCAAGCCAGGAGCAAGGTAACGGCGAGCGACTCCCTCCCCCAGCTGGGTTTGTGATGGGTTCCGCTTTGACAGCGATCCCAGCGCCGGGGAAGGGTGGCGGCCCCCAGAGCCTGCCCCTGCTGGGGTGCCCCCCTGCCAGTGCCCCGCTGGGACCGAGCTTACCAGCAAACCCCAGGGCTCTGCCCTTGCCCAGCTCGCTGCCGGGCTGCCTGCCCTCTAGCATGCGGCCCCATGGAGTGCGCTGATGAACCGCAGTTAGTGACCCCGGGGGCGGGGTGGTGGGGGGCTGGGCGTCTGTTCTCCCTCTGCTTTAGATAAAGCCCCTTCCCCAAAACCATGAGCAGGAGAAGAGGTGCTGGCCCACTGCTGGGGAGAGTACCAGGCTGTAAAGGGGTGACGCTGTTGTTCCTGAAAACTGCAGGGCCTGTGTTGATTGTAGAGTTGTGTGTATAGTGAAGAGGGTCTAGGAGTTCCTTCTCTAGTAATGTGGGGGGGGGGGGAGGGTCTTGAGAGAGACTAGGGGTTCCTTCCACTGTACTGGGTATATATAATTATTCACAACATGAGTAAACTGTGGTGAATCCCAAAGGCACAACAAAAAACTTCCTGTCCGAAGGGTCTCCCTGACTCTCAGCAAAACTCTCTCTGCCAGGAAAGGGTTAGCAGCAGTACCCAGAGAAGGGGTGAATTCCACCAGAGGCAGCAAAATCTGGCTGATTCTCCTTTCAGTTTAAACAAGAGCGTTCCTTCCATCCGCCCATTGCTGGTTCCTGGGGGGAGCGGGGCGGGGGGAGAGAAAGATGCTTTTAAGATTTAAGGAAACTAACTGTTCTACAGCAGGGAGGGTGGCAGCCAGGGAGAAGGAATAGGAGAGAATAACGTGAGCCTAGAAGGTTGAAACAGCACCAGAGCAGGATGTCTGCAAACCTCACCCTCAAGCATCTGATGGTTAGAGTCTTCCTTGTCTTGCTTTGCTACCTGAGCTGCTAAGCAGGAAGTGCAATAACTGATATTCTAAGGGTGCTAACTACATTTAAGCAAAGTACTCTGGGTGAACTATTTATTCTATGGCTTTAGCCTGTCTCCAGTTCTGGAATTATCTGCCAACAGACTGATCTTTACAAGCGTGTTCATTATTTGACTGAAACGTCACATGTTCATTGTCAGTTTCTGGGTTGTTTGTGAACTATTGGTTTCCCTTGTGCTTACAGTTATTCGCTATTTGTTATTCGGGGCCTGTGATTGGTCAGCTGAGCCAGGCAGTGCACCCTGCCTGGATGATTTTAAAAGGAGGAGGGAAATCACAGAGATTGCAAGATGGCTGCACAAAGCTTTGCACAAATTAATATTTGCACGAGGGAGTAGTTCTGAGACTTCCGGGAACACTGAGACAGAAAAAAACCCACTTGTACAGATACTCAGGGGAAACGGAAACAAAAGGACACACCTAATGTCCAAGAGAATTCACAGTGGAGTTGCAGACAAAGGTCTTTGAATATTCTTTTTCAGCCCCATGCACATGAATAGCTGAATATTAAAGAAATGTACTCATCTCTTATGCACAAGGTCAAACACTTCTAGGCCAGTCCATGCTTCTGAGGGCTCCCTGTACAAAAGAGACACTGGGTGAGAAATGCTGCATACAAAAGGCCCCAGGAATTGAGACAAGGGCATTTCGTTGACATGAGATGGAGTCATTTGGAGACTCTTCCCTTGATTCCGATATGTCCAGTAAATACCATAAACTTAGCTGGGGCAAGGAAGGGGATACAGCCTTTGCTGGCCACATCTTTAAATCAAGATTGGATGCCTTTCTCAATTGTATCCCTAGCTCAGCCAGAATGTATGGGCTTGATGCAGAAAGCACTGAGTGAAACGCTGTGGCTTGTGTTAAGCAGTAGGTGAGACTAAATGCTCACAGTGGTCGCTTCTGGTTTAAAACCTCTGGCACAAGGATAGATCAGAAAGCCTGAAAGGGGGAGTGTAAAAGGGATTGAAGGTGGGGGAAATTCAGAGAGTCACAAGGAAGTAGAAGACGAATCCTCAATGCTAGGGTTTGAGAAAAATAAAGTTGGATGCTACAGGCCTGATTCCATTCATGTTTAGTGACTTCTCAGGCTGGGAAAAGTCCCTTGGACACCAGTGGTTCTGATGTTTTAATGGGAGTGGATGTTTTAATTGCTGTGATTCTTTCACCATTGCATGGGGTTAAACCTGATTGCCAGAACTGGGGATGGGAAGGATTTTTTTCCCCGGACCCGTGTTGGAAATGACCTTGGGGAGTCGTCACCTTTCTCGAGGGTACGAACCAGGGATCATCTATTCAGATCAAGTGGGCGTATCACATCTTCTGAGTGCAGGGAGAAGGGCATTGCCAGGCCTCAGTCCTTCGTGTCATTCTATTTCTGTCTCTTAGAAGAGCAAAAAGATAAGAAAGTGATTGTGTAGGTGCCAAGTGCAAGGACCCAGCTGGGATCTTGTAGCCATAAAACCACTGGAATGTGATCAGCTCTGAAACTCCGCTGCTTGAAGTAGCAGGATGCAATCTGCATTTCATCTGACATCCAACCAGGAGAGGTGCTGAGAGGTCTTCTTGAAAGATCAGGGCTCAGGTCTGACATCATTCCAACAGTGGGTTATATACATTATAATTAAATGCTACACACACACACACACACAGTAGAACTTCAGAGTTACGAATACCAGAGTTACGAACTGACTGGTCAATCGCACACCTCATTTGGAACCATAAATACACAATCAGGCAGCAGCAGAGACAAAAGAAGAAGAAAAAAAGCAAATGCAGTACAGTATTGTGTTCCACGTAAACGACTAAAAAAAAGGAAAAAATTAAAAAAAGATTTGACAAGGTAAGGAAACTGGTTCTGTGCTTGTTTCATTTAAACTAAGATGGTTAAAAGCAGCATTTTTCTTCTGCGTAGTACAGTTTCAAAACTGGATTAAGTCAATGTTCAGTTGCAAACTTGAAAGAACAACGATAACGTTTTGTTCAGAGTTAGGAACATTTCAGAGTTACAAACAAGCTCCATTCTCAAGGTGTTTATTCTTTATTCACTTAAAATCAGAAAGGGTCAGAAATTAAGATGCTAACAAGACAGTTAACTCAGCCACAAATCTCAGTTTGTATGTTTATGGTGCAGATTTAATTGCGCGAACGGTAGTATGTTAAAAGCCATGAATAGACAATGGGGTTTAAGTGGACCACGCCTCTGCAGACATTGCTCTTGAAGCACTGAGCATCTGCTCCCATTGAAGTTATTGGCCTAACCTTCCTCCCATTGACGTCAACAGCAGTCACAGAGCAAAGCTCCTGGTGACTTTAGGGAGAGCAGTGTCAGGATTTAAACACACATTCCTTGGTTTTTGGTGATTTCATTCTGCAACACGAAGATTGCATTATGCATTAAAAAATGCAATTTTAGAAAAAAATCTTGCTCTAAAATCTAAGGCCCGGATCCTGCACATTGACTGCTCCTGGGTGCATCTCTCTACCCACACCAAGACTCACTGGCTCCACAGGGCAGCTCAATAGCAGGACTGCAGGGGTCATTCAGTCAAAGGCCGACTGGTGCCTCTTCAGTTCATGAGGAGTAGAGTAGAGTAACAAAGGGACACAGCAAATACTCACTGAGCAGTGCACAGGCTCCAAGTATCTCTGCCAACATGCCAGTGCTCCGTAGGCACGTCCAAAACGGTCTTCATTTTCAGCCAGCTTTTGTTTTGAGGCTTGGTTATGAGCCTTCTCCCCACTTAGGTTGAACGGACACCTAAGAATCAAGTTTCCAAGCTTCAGACAGCCTGGCGTTACCTCTAGGGGGTGCGGAACATGACAGTAATTTTTGACGTTGGGGAAAGTGGTTTGCTTTTCTTCGGCCCACGCTCCTCATCCGAAACTAGTGAAAGGCATTTGGACCAAGCTGCAAAATAATTCACCTTGGGACAGACACCCACTTTAAGGCCTCTTTACACGGCTGGAGCAGTGGGCTTGTGAAACACAGCTTGCTTGCGCTGCTGGACATCCTGCTGTGCTATTTATTTGGACGGTCGTTCCACCAGAAACTGCAGCCAGGGGCATGTGCTCACTCTGGCCCCTGTGAAGCAGTGAATGGTCTCTATGGGATACTCCGAGAAAGACTATCACGGAAATGGAGAGAGATTGTTAGCACATGTGGAATACTCCGACTTTTCTTCCCATTGTAAGCCTCAGGCCCTATTCCCCCCTCGCAGGGCGTGAGTCGTGTAACCTCCCTGGTTTGGTATTGGACACAGGGACAGCAGCACAATCCAGGAGCTTCCAACAAACAGCCCTTTACTGCAGCTTGCTCAGAGATTGCCCTGCATAGATCCAGCCACTTGCATCTCCTGGGGGGTGCCACAACTGGGACTGACAAAGGCGCAGTCCGCTCCAGACAACACCCATTGCATTCCATGGAAGTTACTCCTCTCCTGTGCGGAGTCGGGAGAATAGACCCCCATCACTTGTGTACAGCGTCATGTCAGAGAGAGGGGATCAGATCTAGATGTGATGGACACAAATGCAGCAGGCCAGAAAGAGCTGAAAAGAAGAATAAATCAAACCAGATTTTCTTCCATTTCCCAGGTTCCCATTTCCTTTCACCGGGGAGGGGAATCCAAATGGCAATAGGGCATCAGTCTCTGTGTTAGGTTTGCGCCAGGGGAAAGGCCTTTGGGGCCTGCCTATCATTGCCCAGCTCTAGCTAATGGGCCCGACCATCCCCTCAAGACTATCAAAGTGCACAGGGATAAGAGAGGCTCTGTCCAGGAATCCCAGACTGGACAGCCCATTCTGCCACCAGGATCAGGAGCAGCAGCTGGCAGGCATGGTGCCAGGGAGAGCGGCTGTTCTCGTTGAGGAAGAAGCCTTGTTTACCCGCACGCTCTGCAGCCTGTGCAGGCCCCCTCCTGCTTTTAGGCAGGGGTGGGGGTCTATGGTGGCCTGACCAATGCTGAAGATGGGAGGTAGCTGCTCTGTG